TGTGCAATTTGCGCTCGGCGTTTCTCTTTTGTTGAATCTTGATAAGCCTGTCATAATAACTAATTAACATCTTAAGCATAAAACGAACCATCTCAATTGTGTGTGTGTGAAGCATAGCCCCTAACTATCTAGCCCCCTTTAGGGAAACATTTCCAGGATTGACTTATAGATAACAAATTAACCGAGGTGCAGAGAAACAAAAATTTAACACTCAATAAAGCATTTAACACATTTGAGCAGACCCATGCAGTACAAATTTGAATGAGTTATATTAGCATGGACACACGTGGGTGCCAATTTCAAACATTTTTTCTGGAAATAGATAGGAGGGTCTTTAGAGATGGGGACAGCTCTTGGAGGAGGTTTGGGCCTTGGTTAATAAGGACTTTTGTGATTACCAATCTCTCGTTCTTTTGAGATGAAGTTTATTTTTGTAATTGTGTACCTTGGTAGTTTTTACTCCTTGTTTTTGGCTCCTTTTGTTCTAGGCTAACCTTATTGTCCTTGTATATTTAGGGATGTTTTTTTCCCTGCAAGGACCCGCCCCTATAAGGTTGGGGGATGGGAGAGGAAGTGAGAATAAATTTTTTTACGTTAGCTAAATGAGAGCATTCCTTGTCCTTGTTCCATTTATATACAAGATACCACAGATTTAAATGTTTATGAAATATTATTTTACTTTTATTAGCATATCAAGATTTTCTATTTGAATGGATTTCTCATTGAAAATTAACCATCAAAATGAAGATTTTCCAAACTAATTTATTTTATTGATCAATATTTAAAGAACTAAACTAAACTAAACTAAACTAAACTTGATCCCTGCAAAATTAAACGAGAAATTCTGGGAAGGCAGAGAAGTCGCCCCGCCCCGTGAGATCCCTATGTCTATTCTTTCATTTCTTCTCCATGAAAGTTGGCTTCATAAAAAAATAACATTATGATTATTCACATACACAACATATAAAATAGAGAATAGAAATCCTCATTCATTAAACCTAAGAAACTATTTCTTTTATTGATCAAATTATTTAAAGAAAAAAAAAACTAATCTTGATCTCTGCAAAATTAAATGAGAAATTTTGAGAAGACGGAGAAGCCACCCCAAGATCCCTATGTCTATTCTTTCATTTCTTCCCCATGGAAGTTGGCTTCATAAAAAAATAACATTATGATTATTCACATAAACAACATATAAAATAGAGAATAGAACTCCTCATTCATTAAACCTAAGAAACTAATGACCATGAGCTAACGATGAGGAAGCTTTTGATGAATGGTTGTGATCTACAAGCCAATTAAAGTTGTATAGAACCCAATAAACAAACGGTTGCTTGAAGCTTTTAGTCCTTATAGTGTAACTCCCTTGGCTAAAAACTATAGGTCTAGGCATATGCCTCGGCCTACCAAATCCTTCCAGAAGACTCAATCCTTGAGAAACAAGACAAAAGGACTCCAAGAATTAATAGGGCTTACATCTTCCATCAATTATGATAAACCATCATCCTCTATCACAATGGGTTGGTAGATTGGTCCTCTTTGATCATTATTTCATGGAATGTAAGAGGTTCGAGATAAGGGAGAAAAGAGCTCTTGTTAAAAAGCCTCATTTCATCAAACAAAATTGAACCATTGTCATCCTCCAAGAAACTAAATTGGCCAAGGTGGATAAACTGATATTATGGCTGAGGAGAAACTGAATTGAAGCAGAAATCAAAGAATGTGCTTCGCTTATGATGATCACTAACCAAAGGGATTGAAATTCTTCCTTTGGGAGCTTAGCCACGAAACGACGAACTCCAACATAGGATGCCATATATGAACATTTCTCCTCATCGTTGTGTCATTCCAGAATTGTTCCAAATCTTAAAAGTCATTTTTTGTAGCTTTTGAATATGCAACAAGATTTTGGTGAGTCATCTTTTCTACTTGGATGGTCAGCAGCACTCCCAATTGCCCAGTGTTCCTTCTCTCCTATGTTTTTTTGGTGCATCCCATCAAACAGGAGAAGGAGCTCATCAGGAAGCATTTTGTGAGGACTTTTATTTGGCTTACTTGACAAGAAAGGAACCAAAGGATATTTAAAGATAAGGATTTAATGCTATTGTCTTTTTGGTCGTTACTTGGTATCTATGATTTCCCTTTTTTCCACTACTACAGTATCCTTTCCCTTTTATCCAATTTGGATATGAGTTTCCCCCAACTTTTGTAATTTCATACATCAATAGAATTTTTTTTTTCTTACAAAATAAATAAATGAAAACCTGCATTAGAAAAGGTCATTTCAATTTATGAATCAATCCTTACCTCGTTCGGATCAAAGTATGTTCGGACTAATAGATGCTCAAGTCGCAAGTATCTCTCAGGTTGCTCCTGCTTCATGACACCCATCACTTGAGTCTGCCTCAAAATAGCACGAGCAGTATCCAACTCACGAAGCTCAATCATTTCTAATACAATCTGGAAAAAGAATTACAAGATGGTAGTTACAAAATCTGAAGTGTATCAAGATTGCTAAACCTGAAGAACTTTCTTAGGACAAATGCAATCAAACAATAAAAGTACAGAATATACTGTTCCAACAAAATTTTATAGGGTTTAATACTAACCACCAATCTTATGTATTAAAAAGGTTGTGAACCAGAGGGAGGGGGGGCACTTACTATTGACCTCAGAATGTGGAATTTGGGATTTCATTCTTTCTTTGCTTGTCTGTTTACTAGGTGGAAGTGTTCCGCTGGCATTTTATCCTCTTAATTGACTTTTGTAAATTATTTCCATCAATTGTATTCTGGTTTCAAATTAAGGAGGAAGAGACTAAAAGTCCAACCACGTACAAAAAAAATAAAACACAACTGCCTTCGTGAAAATGTGTTCTCAAAATCCGACTAAAACAATTTTCTTTGTGCAAACAAAGAGGAGAACGTGATGGACTTGGGGCATGGAGGGGGGCTTTTTCTAAAATCTTTCTGACCTAGAGGCAATGAAGCTGTCCAAACAACGATATTAATATTTTGGGTAATTACCTTTCTAGATTCCAAGGAAAGGTTTTCTTGGTTGAAAGTCTACAACCTTCATTTGATAATATAATAAAGAATGTACCAACAAGAAAAAGACGCAGAAGAGTGGAAATTCCACAATATCTCGTCAAAAGTGAATCATCTTTGTTTCTTATAAAAATAATTAATAAAAAATCAGATGGAAGATAAAACATAATCATGTCTACAAGAGAACTCATTGAATAGTGTAGTAAATGATTTTAGCCCAACCTCCAATAAGCTTACAACTCTAAATGCTGCTATAGGGCCCTCTTTCAACAAATTTTGAGTTCCAGATATTTTCTAGAGCCCCATGCTCTATAATGTTGCCACTAAGCCATTTGTCAACCCTTCCATCTAAATTTTCAACCCACTACATGCTTGAAAATACTAAAATCTATCTATACAGGAAAATCCTTCTCAAGGCATTTTCCAAGTAAAAAATTTCTAACAACTTTCCATAAAGGATAATATATTAGATTAATTAGAAATGATTGATGCAATATTTGAATAACTGTACAGTTTGTTTAACTTTACCTGTTCATATAAGTCCTCCAATATATTTCTTGGAAGCTTAAGTTGAGACACTTGAGGCAATATAGCATCCCACCGTCCAGAGTTTACATCGGCAACAAAAGTTTCAATGCTGTCTACGGTATTCAAAGAAACCTGACACTCATTTTGTAACGTCTGAAATGTTTGGTGCAATGAATTTTCTTTACAAAACTGTAGCACGATCTTGATGACACTGAAAGGAAAGCATATCAGAAATTTTTCCTCTTCCAGGAAAATGATAAAAAAGATTCATCAGATCTAATCACGCATTAAAAATAAACGACATGTCTCCAGTAGAGAACGGGAGAGACGGAATAAGCCAGCATTATGATCAATAATCGGGTCGACATGGAACATATGACTGACGGCTTTGAGATAACACCCTACAGTAAATTGAGTAAATACGACTCGACTGCATATCATCGGAAACGCAGTACCAGTACAATTAAAAACGTATGCAAATTGGTTAGCAAGCGATAAGAGCAACTGACGAACATGTATATGTGCAATAATAGCGAAAAAGTCATTCTTACTTTTAAACCAAAGAAGGCCAATAACTCTTAATATGAACTGGATAAAGAACGTAACTAAAAATATGAAAAATGAAGAACCGTGGAAAACTTATGAAACTAGGAGTGTACAAATATGAAAATGAATAATAGTACGCAATGCAAGCAGTTTGAAAAACCCACGAAAAGAAGAATCAAAATACAGAAAAGAAACTAGAGTACATCAAACTCAAAAATTTAGCACATGGAGTAAGTCGTTACTCCCAGTTCAATCATTGAAATTTCTGGTTAACCAATGAGAGATCGAACTAAGAAACCGCGAAGAGAGGAAGGAAAAAGAAAACGTACTCTCTAGCTTCGATTTCGAGTGTAGACATGCTGGGCAGGTTGGAGCGCAAAATTCAACCAGAGGAAGGCAAGGGAAAGAATAGATTAGGGCTTTTTTTCTTTCTTTTTTTGCCGGGAATAGTATGCCAAATAACGGCTTCAAAACCAAAACCGAGACTGAGCTGAGCTAAGCGAGAAGCTGTTATGGAGGATATAGATGTGCGTATTCTGGTTCGGCCGATAATCTGGACACGAAACACGTATATGGGCCGAGCCTCTTATCCATGTTTTTTTTTACCGAATCATGTTCGGTAGGTTACTGGACTACCTCCATAGCCCAACACCCTATTTTTACTTTTGGAAAAAGAATTCAATATCTTGGTTCATATAACCTATGATCCGAAGATTACCGAAATCAAATTAAAATAATTTCAATTAAGTTGAGTTTAATTTTTTCGAAACAGAAAATTTAGTCTAAAACATTAAAAGTTATATTTTTTATTTTTGAAGTTGAGAGTATTTTTAATTTTGTTTGGAAAGTTATATTATATTTATTAATTTTCTTTTCTCCCTACTTTCGTTTAAAGTTTTGCCGCCATTGGTTCATCTCTCGCTGCTCGCGCCCTCTGGTTCTTTTGGCTTTCCTCCGTTCTATGTTCTTCGGCGTTTATTGCGTCCGATGGCATCCACAAGTAATCGAAAATTCATTGTCGACGACGACGACGTAAATGTGTCCTTCCTCTTTCTCCTTAACTTACCCCATATATCTAAATCCTTTGATCCATATCTCCCTTTCCCTTTTCAGGATTTCGACTGGGAAGCAGCCGTCAAGGAAATTGACGTAGCCTGCCTATCAGGAATTCACTCTGCTTCATCACGTTCTCTTTATTCTTCCCTTCTTGCATCTCCCCACGCCTCTGCAGAAAACTCAGCTTCTTTTCCATCTCCCGAGGAGAATGAAAAACGCGGGACTTCTCGCCAGTCTACACTTCATAGATTTATCATAAATCCGAATGCTAAGTCTCAGAAGAAAACACCGGAAGTCGAAGAACCGGTTCAAGATCGCGCCCTTGTTGAAGACTCGGTTTGTCTTGTTGACATTGATCAGGAGGCAGCTAAGACTTGGATATATCCAGGTCGTCTCTCAACTCCAAACTAATTTTGATTCTTCTTGTTTTGGGTCTTTTATCCACGGATGCATTTGGGCAATCCGCATGTAGAAAATACTATCTATTTCCACTTCATAAACTTTAAGACCATAGGTTTGTGAACCAGTTCATTATATTCCTACTCCGTTACTTTTTGTTCATATTTCGGAGGTTGTTGTACGAAGTCCTCTCCACTTGTTTTATGATCCAAGCACGCCAATCTTACATTGAGCTGAAAAACTTTCAATTCTCTAGAGCCGCAAGAGATACTTTCGTTTGAAGTAATACTCAATCAAGCTACAAGTACATACCCATCTTTTGGAGTATGTTCTGAGCTATTAAGTATTAACATAGCGTGGTTTCTTTATGCTTCTCCACGATAGTTTAGTTTTATTGACCCATTTAACTTCAATTTTATTTTTTCATTCAGCAAGCAAATTTGTTAGTTCCCACATATTTTTTCTTCCCATGGATTCTATATTGGCATTCATCGCATTTTTCCATTTTTCAGTTTTCAAAGTATCCCGAAATGAGATTGGTTCACCACTTGCTAATATAGATATGCATGAAGCAGCAGCATCTTCTTCCTTTAAGGATGTTCTTCACTTCCAAAATCTCTTATCCAAACTGGTGTTCTTTTAGTTTTGCTGACATTATAAATAGGTGATTCTTCATTAATGGATTCAGTATCTTCTCCATTACTTTCCTCTGTTTTTATTTATTTATCACTCTCCTTCCGATCAAATTAGCTAAAATTGTTTCCTCATAGCTTTCTTCCCCATTCCCACAATTTTGTTCTTCAGAAAACACACCTCTTCTGTTCTCACTATGAGCATCTGTGAAAGTGGATCACATAATCCATATACCTTACACTCTTCACTTATCCCTCGTGATATGAACATGTAAAATACAAGCAAGACCTTAAAAATGTCAACTTATTGGTTAGATCAACTACAAGCTTCTTCAGGTGTCATGTGTTTTACTACAAGAGTTGGATTTTCATTTTGGAATGCAACGAGTCCTACTTACCGCCTCAAACCATCTAGTTTTTGGCAACTTTCTTGCATTTCATATGCCAACATATTCCTCAAATTTTTGGAGTTCACTGTTCGACATGTAGGCTATAGGTTTCATGAAGTCAGTAGATAAGGAGATTTGTTTGGTATTATGATACAGTATTTTGCGTCATTGATTGCTGGGTGGATTATTTATATTCTTAGAAGTTAGATGTCAATAGAATTCTAATCTGATATGATGTCAGTTGAATTATGTAGTTAATGTTCCTCTTCGGGATTATCAGCTGGCTATTACCAAGACAGCACTATTTTCAAATACGTTGGTGGCATTGCCTACAGGACTTGGAAAGACTCTCATTGCTGCAGTTGTTATGTATAACTACTTCAGATGGTTTCCTGAGGGTAAGAGAAAACTTTTACCATCTTATTGATTGTTAAAGTTATATCTGTTGGATGATGGAAGTCCCACATCGACTAATTTAGGGTGTGATCATGGGTTTATAAGTGAGGAATACTAACTCCATTGGGATGAGGCCTTTTGGGGAAGCCCAAAGCAAAGCCATGAGAGCTTATGCTCAAAGTGGACAATATCATACCATTGTGGAGAGTCGTGTTCGTCTAACAATATCATCTCAATTGTAATGTCCAGTGGCTAACTTGATCATAGTTTCAATAACATGTAGGTTCGATCCCTAAGGTTTCTTTAAATATTTGTTAGTCCCACAATTGGTTGGAAGAATCAAAATTTGTAGTTTCTTCTTCTTGCGAAGTTTCCTTTTTCCACTAAAGTAGTGCTCTTAGAAAACTAACAAACCATCCTCGAAACTATTAAATAAGAGTGTCTCAAAGCTCTAAGCAAAAGGAGGGTCTGTCGTTCCCTTCTTTATTTCTTCCCAGTAATTCGAAAAATAAGATGCATTAACCATTGATGTAACTCTAGGACTATTGTGAAAATAGTAACTCCCAAGATCTTAATATAAAATAACATAGAAAACGTGTAATTTTTGTGACTTTTGTTTATATAACTATAAGGGAAAAACAATTTATGCTCCCAAACTTTGTATGTTGGATCAATTAAAACTCAAAATTAATAATTGTACCAATGAGAACTCTAAACATTCACAAGTGGATCAATTTAAACTTGTGAGAATTATGAATTTGATATGATTGTTAGTTTAAGTTTTTAGTTAATTCAATTTGTTAGAATCAAGCATGTGGTGTTGGAATCAAGCATGCGTTTATTATGAATTAAACGTTTTCAAATGGAAAAGTAACAAAGGGTTAAAATTGATTCACTCATGCAAGTTTAGGATTTTGGTTGATATAATTGTTAGTTTAAGTTTTTAATTAATTCAATTTGCGAAGTTTAAAAGTGTATAAATTGATATTTTGCCTAATCATAATGATAAAAATAATGGGAAAGTCTTTTGACAACTTCATTTAGGTGTGTTTGACACCTCAATTCTTTTGATAATAACATCAATAATAAAGGGAAAAAAAAAAAATTCAATTTATACCCATGAACTTAAAATTTTAAATTAATAATTGACTTTAATAAGTGAATCAATTTAGACTCTTCTTTAAGATTCC